CCCCCCCCCCCCCCCCCCCCCCGCGTGTGTGTGTGTTGTGGAAACTGAGCAATAAATCAAGAGAAGAAATAATAGAAGACAAATCTCCCTGTGGAAGAATGACCCTACTTACCACTTTGCTACCATTTTTATAAGTGTGTAGTAAATGGGGAATAGGTTAATTTGTTGTCACCTGACAAGTGGCTAACAAATTTTGGTGCCGTTGCCGGGGAGATTTGATCTCTTCTATCTTTTCTAACTGTCATACTAGGTCTTTAAAAGTTGTTTTTGTGAACATCTGTGCCTTTTATACACTGATAAAAAAATTCACCAAAGTGCAAACTCATCTTTTCTGCTGTGACTCATTGTTGAGTTGGCACTAACCCTTGTTTTAAGTGTTGTGTCAGTATCTGCCTTTTGATGCAGTTAAGAAGTGGTTTGGAGACCACAAGGGTAAATGTTGAATTAAATTTGGAGAATCAGGTCAGTATATTTGAGGTTGCTACTTTTTTTGATTCTGAATTAGAATCTAAAACTGAGGTAATTGTTTCTCCTTTCCAATCACATAATAACATGGCAACTTTAAGGGAACTAGCTGCACCTGACCTTCAGACCCAGCCCATATCCATTACTTATGCTATTTTGGAAAAGCCATTGAAATTAAACTCTGGATTTTTGAATATGCTTCCCAAGTTTCATGGCCTGCCTGGTGAAGACCCTTATAGACATGTTAATGAGTTCCTCATAACATGTGCAGCCATGGAACCTCAAGGAGTTCCTCAAGAGCAAATCAGACTTAGGGCCTTTCCCTTTTCAGTGATGGACAGAGCAAAAGATTGGCTGTACTATATGCCTCCTGGGTCTTTTACAACCTGGCCATCACTGCATAGGGCATTCTTAGAGGAGTTCATTCCTGCCTCTAGAATAGGATCTATTAGGAAGGACATCTGTGGGATAAAACAACTGGGGAATGAATCATTTTCTAAATATGGGAAGAGATTCAATAAACTTTGTGCTAGTTGTCTTCAGCATCAAATCCTTGAACAGCTGCTCATCCAGTACTTCTATGAAGGGTTATCCCTAATGGATAGAAGTATGGTAGATGCTGCCAGTGGTGGTGCTTTAGTTACTAAGACCCTAGAGGAAGCTAGGAATTTGTTCAATCTTATATCTCAGAACACACAGCAATTTGGACTTAGGATTAATGAACCAAAAAAGGAAACTGAATCTCTTGCAGCCCTCACTAATCAGATTGCCAATCTCACCAAAATTATGGGTCAAATGGTTAGTGTGGGGGGAATTAAGGAGTCAGTTTGCTCTGTGTGTAGTCTAGAAGGGCATACTTCAGAAGTGTGTCCCAGTTTTCAAAATCAAATGTTTTCAGCTCCTGGTTTTCAATTTGAAAATTTTCAAAATTGTGAGGTCAAAGCTGCTTTTAACAATCAAGGACAGAGAAGGTATGATCCCTACTCCAATTCCTCCGATAAAATGTAAATAGATTAAAGAGTAGGATATACAAATAGATGGAGCATACCCGAGCTGGGAAATGGTAAAACCAAATCCAAAGAAACAAATGGCAACATCACCAAGTTCAAGCGTAAACAAGTAATCAGTTCAAAAAAAGGGCGCACAGGCCAACAAATAGCAAATACAACAACATCAGAAGGGAAAAGTACGTAGAGGCCATAATCTCCCCAAAATGGAAAAGACCATAACCTTGATTTTAAAAACCATAGTCTCAACATATAGAGGTTCATGATCAAAGTAAACGGCATTGCGCTGTTTCCATAAGTGGAAAACCGTGCAAGCTAAGGCAATCTTCCTTGCCTTTTTGAGAATACCATCTCCTCTTTTAAAGCCCTTCAGCCACCTGATAGCTCTAGGGAGAGTACTCAACTGCCCTTCCATCCGTAGCCAGTCTTTGACAGCCCTCCAAACGTCTTTAG